CTTAGAAGATAGCACAGGGGTTAAAGATGCTTGCTTTACACATGGCTTAGCTGACCCTGGTTTGATCCCCAGCACTGCATATTGTCCAAATATGCAAATAACAAGAGTGATCACTGAGTGGAGGGCCAAGAGCAAGCTCTGCACACAGTAAGGTGTGGCCCCATCCTCCCCACAAATATTTACCCTGTTAGCAAAATTTTAAGCATATAATTTAGTACTATTATCTACGAATACTATGGGTATTATGTATATAGTACCTAGGATTTACTCATCTTGTATAACTGAATTTTCTTCTGTATTTTCACTCTTCTCATCCCCCTGACAACCACTGTTTTACTTTTTGCTTCTCTATGTTTGACTGTTAAGATTCCTCACATAAGTGGTACCATGTAATATGTGTCCTGGTTTATTTCACTTAGAATAATGTCCTCTAAGTTTTTCGATGTTGACACAATGGTAAGCGTTACATCTATATTAGGGCTGAATAGTAACTCATGTTATGTATATAACACATTTTCATTATCTACTGGTCTACTGATGAAGATTTAGTTTACTTTCATGTCTTGGCTAGTATAAGATTACTGCAACAAACAAAAGAATGCAGATATCTCTGTCATCCTGATTTTGAAAACTTCAGATACTTATCCAGAAGTGGGACTGTCATTTCTTATATTAGTTCTATTTTTATTTTAAAGAAATATTTATAATTTCCCATATTGATTGTATGTGTTTGCTTTTCGAACAGTGTTCTATTTCTCTACAACCTTACCAAGAGTTGTTATTAAAAATATCATCATAGGAGAATCTCTTTCAACTTAATTTTTAAGCATATATTTTCTCATCTATAATAACAGAGAGCTAAACTAGATATCACTGGCCAGTTAACAAATGACCCTTGAGTGCATGTTATGTTTAAGGCTCCATTTGATGCTTGACAGCACACAGGGTTTTAAGTGTGTACTGTAAGTAGTCTTTGTTCTTTTGACATTTCCACTGATACATTAATTCTCTCTCTTACCTGTTTTCTGTTTTGAGATTTACAAATACCCCACGGAACTCAAGTGACTTAAAATCAGACGCATCAAAGAGCTCTTTGGTGTTACAGACTGCATTAGACTTCTGAAGTATATAGACTTCTAAACTGAGACTCATTGACTCCTGATAAAACTGATTATCTTTCTCAGTGTATTTGTCTCTGAAGGACTACCCATTTCCCAATGATCCAGGGTAGGTAATCTGGGACATATTTGGTTCTTCCTAAACTTTCAACTGTTATTCCCAAACTTTCACCAAGATAATAATTCATCCAATTTAATTTTGGATAAATCTTTCTTTTATTCCAACTCACCCTCCCTGCTGCCCCCAACACACACACACACACACACACACACACACACACATTCAAAAAATAGGCTGGGGCCCTAATCTTTAGCAGCAGAATGCTGTTCTTGTTTTCCAACAGATTTACCAGCTTTCAGCCTGATCTACTTACAGTTTTCTAAATGAAGCTTTATAAAGCAAATCACAATGGTTTTCAATACACTCTATTTAGGTATAATAAATATAAATAATAAATGTCTGTCCATTATTCTTTCTAACACTTCAATGTCTGATCTGTTTTCTAACTAACAGTCATTTTTTCTCATGCAAATGTCTTTCCTATAATGGTAAGTCAACCTGAAATGACTTTTCATCTCCTTGTACTTAAAAGTAAGTCAACTTTTGGCCTTGCTCTTCACTTTTCCCTCAAACAGTGTACGTTGTTTGTTTGTCTCTACGTCTCATTATTTGCTTTTTCCACTCTCTTGAACATACACTCTCCTCTTTCTCTTGTGTCATTCTAAGTAAGTTTAATTCAACAAAAACTATTCTGCTTCACTGGGCAAAAAAAAAAAAAACAACTTTCAAGACTCAGCTCAACTTGAACATGACTCCCTCCTGTAAATTCCCACTGAATTAACATTTTATACTACATTGATTAGTACTTTTATAATTGTTGGGTAACATTGCTTTGTCCTTCTACAAGAAGTTTAGGTTTATCTGGTTACACCCATTAATCTGGTTACGCCCATCAATCTAGTTACACCCATCTCAGTGCTCCTGAAGCACTTCTACTTCCATTGTGTTTATCTGTAAACAGTCTTCCCTATGCTCTCCTTCCCACCCAGTTAATCAGCTTTCCCCTTAATCAGACTTTGTTAATTTGTAAGATCAGTTTCCCAGAAATCTATGATTTTATATGTATGAGTGAAATATTGCCTTTCTCCTCTCCTTATGCCTTATGAATAGTTTACCTTAAAGTAATATCCTTTTTGTATAGATACAGAAAGACCGTTAACATTATGCTTTGTAACTTAGGATTCGATTGGCTTTGAATATTATTCACTCCCGGGCATCTGCTTTCTCGACTTAAGCCTCAGTTGCCCTTAGTTCCTAACACCCCAAAAGCAGGGTCCCGACGAGGGACTGAATGGACCCAGGGCAAGTGGTGAGCTACCCTGGCAGCAAAATGGGCCAGGCCAAAGTGCCACGATTCTTAACTATAAATTAAGAGTTTGATCATAGACAAATGCTGTCATGATCAAAGGTAACGACAAGACTAGGATCCTGCTAGGGGTGGGAAAGACTATCTGGCCTGAGCACCATAGTCTGAGATCGAGATGGCTCTAGGAGAGCAATTCTATAAGTTTAAGATATTTCTTATGTATCCATACAAAATGATTTATATTATATTCTTATATGCTTGTCAGACAAGGAGAGGAGAGGCACGCCCATGGGATTATGCTCTAGGCTGGGTCCTCCTGCTGAGGAAGGATCTGTCCTAGGAGCGGTCTTCCCTGAGGCTAAGATTTCCACCCCTATTGATTGTGACCACACCTATGTGTAATTGTTTCCCCAATTCCTCTTGGAGAGAGATATAATGAGACTGTAGATTGGGCATGGGGGAGCAGAGAGACAGAAGGAGAGGGGGGCAGAGACAGAAGGGGGAGAAACAGAGAGAGACAGGAGCAGAGACAGAAGGATAAGAGAGCAGAGACAGATGAAGAGAGAATCAGAATAAACTACGACTAATACCTACCAGCCTGGCCCTCATTCCTTCCTCCGCCTGACCATCGCCATCGACCTCTCCGGGGTGGGAGAAGGGTGAGACTACCGAACACGGGCGGCGGAAGAGATAGAGCCACAGCCGCTGTGTGTGCTGTGTCCCCCGTTGTGTGAGTTTACACAATAATCATTTCTAATTTTTGTATGTGTTCTTTTGTGGTTCGGTCCTCCCGTTGTTCATCGATTTTGCTGGAGCGGGCCCAGTAACGTCTCCATCATGAGACTTGTTGTTACTGTGTTCTTTATTAGATTATAATCCTTTATACTTTCCACATTTCTTATAAATTAAGTATAATTTAACTTAATGCTAGTCACATAACATATATAACATGATTCATTATAACATGGGAGAAGAACACTGAATGGGTCCAGCTTCTGTGTGACATAAGTTATAAGAAAAAAACTGAAATGCAGTACATGCTCCTCTTAAAAAGTTTCACATTCATGGAGCTGGAGGGATAGGCCAGTGTTTGCATGCAGCCAACCCCAGGCCTGCCTGTTCTTCTCCCAGAGGTAGAGCTACCCGAACTATAGGTAGTGGTTTGCTCTGTAAAGCCATGTTTGGCCTTGAACCCATATCTCACTTGCTCTCTCCAAGCAGTTTTGTTTGCTTTTTCCACTCTGAAGAAGCCCATATTCTCTCTTGCACATGCACTTGCTCTTTTTCTTTCTCCTCACATCTTTCTAAGTAAGTTTCAATAAAAACTACCTTGACTCATAACAGAAAAAAAAGGGTAAACATAGTATCTCGAGAAATGATTTAACCTCTCTAACCTTAGGAAAAAGGGGGGAGAAGGGAGAGGACAGGATGAAAAATCAGAGAAGCACACCCTATTATTAGATATTTCATCTGAGATGAAAGGATAAATGAACAACTCCCACATATTTGAATAAGCAATATTTCTACTTTCAAAGCTTGAGTGCTTAAAAATTCAATTTTATAGAATTTAGGGACTTATAAAATTAATCACACATAAAAGAAAAATACACATTTTTATACATGAACTATGCAGACATAAGTTTTCATTTATTATTGTAATTTTTGTTTTATTTTTGTTTATTTATTTATTTTTTTGATTTTTGGGTCACACCCAGCAAGGCTCAGGGGTTACTCCTGGCTCTGCACTCAGGAATTACTCCTGGCAGTGCTCAGGGGACCATATGGGATGCTGGGAATCGAACCTGCGGCAGCTATGTGAAAGGCAAATGCCCTATCCACTGTGCTATTGCTCCAGCCCCTATTGTAATTTTTAAAAGTAGGCTTTTAAAAAAAGTTATTAAAGAATAACTAGTTTCAATTATTAAAATAAAACAAATTCTTGTTTTTCATTCTATGAGTTCCAATTTAAAGAAACACTAAAATTATGTTAAATATAAAGCAGAAATTAATCTAGAGTTAATATTGTACAATAGTAAACAAATTAAATGTACTTTAAAAGTGTACAAAGAAAATATACTAAGGTTTATTATATATTATATGTCAACCAAGTACAGTAGCAAAAACACAAGCTCAATATTATGCAATGAAAGTGCCATTAACCCTTTCAGGACAGCACTTCATCTACTACAGCCTTCTAATGTGAGCTACTTTAAAATGAGAAAAATTATAGAACTCCTGCCAGACTATTGTAGTCACAGAACAAAGACTGTTGGGGATAAGAAACTTCACTGAGGTCAACCAAGATTTTAACAGAAGTCACTAATGACTTCCTCTAATATTACCAAGGGATTTTTCTTTTCTCGCTTTGTCAGTTTCCATTACTATACAATTAGATTGCATTTTCTGCCGTGATTCCCTCGTCAGAGTCTCATTCATAGAACAGACAACAAGCAATATCCTTTACCTTATTTTAACAACAACAACCACTGCCCTTTTCCTCTGCTCCCTGGCTTACCATTTTCCTTCTTCATTTTCATACTGTTGAACAGTATATCCAAACATGTCCTCCACTGGGCCACTGAAAGTCATTGAATTCTTCACATCAACATTGAATGATATGCAGACGCCGAGAAGAACTGAGAGGGAAAACAAAGTCCAGTTACACAGAGTTAACTATGCTTCCTTCATGTTTTGAATTAGCAGGCATCCTTGTGGTTCCCATTAAAAGCTGTGCTCTAACTTAAAAGGGCAATGACAACACTCAGAGAATGAGAACTATAAGGAAGGTCAATGATATTACTGACTGGAAAGAAACACAATGGCTTTAAAGAATAGAAGTATTGACATTCAAACAAATTCCCATAGTAATTCAGTACTGGTACTATTCCCAGAACTAAAGATGTCAGACTTTGTAATGAGGGACGAACTGTCAGAAACTTATATGCACATATGACTAAGTGCATTTGCAGACAGTTTTTATAACGGTGAGCCCTACAAAAAATCACGGCCATTAATGAAATACAAGAGCTTCATTTTTCCATCTTAACTAGTAAAGATGCGAGGATCACTATCTAAAGCTTCAGGAGAAGAAGCTTCCTTCTCGCTACTTCCAGCGGGAAGTAGATCAAGTTGATCATCTCTAACCTAAGACAGTATTCTGCATTGTCTGAATTGTCTGAGATTTGTTTGACTTACACATATGAATGCACACAGCAAATAAAAGCTTGTACTACACAGAAGGCTACTACTGATATTAAACCAGATGGCATATCTTAGAGAGTCCACTCAGTGGCTGACACGTATTAGATATTAAGTTAGTATTAATTCTTCTTAATTTCTTTGTAGTTAATGTCAGTTAACAGGAATTCTCTAGGAGTAAGACTCTTCAAAAACGGCTCCCTGTGGTGCAAATTCCACCTCTGGCCATTGCTTCTGGAGACTAATTATCAACTTTCAAAATATTCCTTTCCAAGATATAACTAAGGGATCTTTAGGAAGAGCAGTTATGGAATGATAAGTGATTGAACTCACTCTACTTTGTGAAAATCACAATATACTCACAATTATACTAAAAGAATTATTTCCTTATCCATTGTAAATCTTCTCATAAATATGCAAATTTGATGTCTAAATCTCATGTTACTTCACTCGAAATCATTATCACTCTCGCTCATAATCAAATATTTGTCAAAATATTAAGTGCTTATTTGATGCATAGGATTCTGTGTAACTTGAAGAAATTTTATTCTTAAAAATATATAAAGGAGCAAGAAATGTGACATAGAGCAAGGAAAGCCTCTTCAACAAATGGTGCTGGGGAAACTGGACAGCTACCTGCAAAATAATGAACTCCCACGTCTGTCTAATGCTAGGTACAAAAGTTAGAACAAAATGTATTAAACACCTTAATATCAGACATGACTCCTTAAGATATATGGAGTAAAATGTAGACAGAACCCTCCATGACATAGAAGATAAAGGAATCTTCAAAGATAAAACACTGCTGACCAAGCAAGTTGAAACAAAGATAAACAAATGGGACTACATTAAACTAAGAAGTTTCAGCACCTCAAAAGAAACAGTGACTAGATAAAAAGACAGCCCGCAGATTGGGAAAAACTATTTACAAATACCCATCTGTTCCTGGAGTGAGCAGACGCCATTGGGCTATACTAGCACATGACAGGGACGAATGGAGACGTTACTGGCACCCACTCAAGCAAATCGATGAGCAACGGGATGCAAATGATACAAGTGATACCCATCTGATAATGGGTTAATATCTAAAATATATAAGGCATTGGTAGAACTTTACAGGAAAAATCATCCAACCCCACCAAAAAATGGGGAGAAGAAATGAATAGAAACTTCCTCAAAGAAGAAATACAAATGAACAAAAGACATATAAAAAGTGCTCTACATTGCTAATCATCAGGGAGATTCAAATCAAAACAAATAAAAACAACAATGAGATATCATCTCACACCCCAGAGAATGGTACACATCAAAAAGAATAAGAACAATCAGTGCTGGCGCAGACATGGGGAGAAAGGGACTCTCATTCGTTATATATATACACACACATATATATACACATACATGTATTTATATATGTACATGTATACATATATTATATATATATATATAGAGAGAGAGAGAGAGAGAGAAGGATGCCCGCCATAGAGACAGGTTGGGGTGTGGGTTGGGGGAGGGGAACTGAGGGCATTGGGGATGGGACATGTACACTGCTGGAGGGATTGGTTTTGCAACATTGTATATCTGAAACCCAACCACAAACAGCTCTGTAACTCTGTATCTCATGGTGATTCCATTTTTAAAAAATGTGCTTGTGTCTGGAAGCTAGTACAGGTTTAAGGTGCTTGTGTTGCAAGTATCTAACTCCAGTTAAATTCCCCACATGCAAATGGTTCCCTGAGATCTACCAGCAAGTATCCCTGAGCAAAGAGCTCACAAGTAAGCCCTGAGCATCACTGGGTGTGAGCCAATGCCATCCTCCCACCACCAAAGATATGTCTGAACGCTCATTTATAAAAAAAAAATGTTTACCCGTTTAGAAAGTCTTCCTTAAAATCTTCATCTGGAAATCTAGAAATACTATTTCAATTACTAAATCCTTCTCCTTTTGTGTTTGTGTGAAATTTTATTAGGTTGGGAAATTCTTAAAATCAAGGACTTTTATCTTACTCAAAATTTTGTACTGCTCCTTGTACACAAATAGTTAATAGTGAATTTGTAGAATAAAATCTAGACTATTGAACGATGACATGTACTAGTTGTGATTAGAAGTGAACTGGGAAGTGTTTCGATTTAGTTAAGGAAGGCTTTACTGAGACAGAAATTTTTATCTTAGTTTTTATGGAGAGGGAGCGATACAACTTGGCACAGAGAAGAAAATATGCCCCAAGGATTAGGGTGGGGGAGCTGTGTAAATTATGACTTGGACAGGACAAATAAAGTTGCAAGATCATAGAGATCAGACTGACTAGGGCAGAAGCGGCAGACAAAGAATGGATGAGTAAGGTCCATTTATGTACATTTCCAGTCATTCTTCAAGGGAGATGAAGAACAGCTGGTTACTGGCTTTGGCATAACAACTTTTTTAGAGATAGTTCTAAGCATGTTCCCTCTCCTCCAAACTAAGTAGTACATGCTTCTTTTCTCACAGGTCTTTATATGTGTGTGTGTGTGTGTGTGTGTGTGTGTGTGTGTGTGTGTGTGTGTGTGTACTTCTGACAGATTATTTGGGATCAGTTATAAAATAATCCTTGTGTCTGGAATGTTAAGCAGCATTCCTAGCCCTCATTCACATGATGTCAGTAGTATCTCCTAAGCTGTGAAGATCAAAAATATCTCCAGCTCACTTACATTGCCCAGAAAATGAAATCACCCTGAATTGAAAATCACCAATCTACAGATAAAAACCAGGATACTGCCCCCACATAATTTTGTTGGAAAAGGTGACCAAACAACCAAAAAGCATCTGTTATCTGTATATTACAGTGTCCGCATCAACCAGAAAGTTCTTTTAACATTTGAGAAGATATCACCATAATGTTGATGCAAATGACACATGCTGCAAACACCAGAAACTCCATCTGGTCTTCTTAAAACCTTTGACTTGGTTTTTGTCTTGCCTCTAAATACAAAGGATTATATTCATACATTATGTATTTAATGTTCAACCAGGCATCAGTCAGAAAAAATAGGACAGAACAATCACCAGATCCTCTAGAGAGGGACCTCTGAAGGCTGCCCAAGAGGCAAAAAAAAAGTTATTTCAAAGCTTTTGTCCAAAGCAGGCCACCATCATCGAACCATTGACGTCAGTCAGTCTACAATACTACTCACCACCCATTGTCTACCTTTTTTTAACTTACTTCCCCAAGAGCCCTATATAAATGCTGAACCCCCAGAGCGAGTGAAAGTTTTTTTTTTCCAAAAGTTGACTATCTTGTTAGGTAATGAGCACCTGACTAAACCTGTTTTTCTCACAGTTCTCTAGTACTGGCTTTTAAGGTGAGCCACTGGATTTTGGCTTTGGTGCCAATATTAAATTTACTTAAAAACACTCAACATTTAGACAAAAGGAAAAGATAGGAATCTCTTTCATCAAGGTCAATTTCATCCTTCTTGAAGGATTTTTCCAGCACTTCATCATCTTTAGTAAATGTTTCCGAAAGACCATTCATGGTACCCATCAACTTAAAACCAAGAGCTTTTGGTTTCCTTTTTGGGGATGTTTGTTTATTCTACATGTTGTGTGGAATGTCCGGGGGGTGTGTGCTGTACTTTTTTTTTTTTTTCATTTCCTGTCCTCAGAATTCTACAGGCAATTTGCCCAAAGTGATTGTAAATCAATTTCTTTCATGTTTCCTAGGGCATCCAGAAGCCTGAAGCACAGGAGAAGACATTTGAAAAAATGGTTTACATGCTGTTCTTTTGATTTAAAGGAGTGCATAAACAGTAAAAAAATCTTTTCAGACCTTTCAGTTCAATGTTCAGTTTGCTGTATAGAGTTGTCTGGGAACTTTATGTACCAAAAGTAAAGCAAAATTGTATTTACTCAAACCAAAACCAAAAAAAAAAAAAGGTTGGGGCAAATGCACTAAGATGGCTCTTGAGGCAAGCTGGGGTGAAAACAGCAACTCTGGGGAAATAAAGCAGATACAAGAGTCGGACGCCTAAAAAAATTTCTAATTTCACATGCATAGGCAAAAGGTTTTTTTCTCTTCATACAAGTGACAGTTTGGCTGTGAGATTTCAATGTAATATCTTTCAAATTTAATTGACCACATACCCTATGAATAAAACCATTATAATCCCCATTGTCTAGACAAGGAGAAGCAGTGTTGGGTTGGTAGAGAAGTTTGTTCCAGGGCTCCAAAAGAATTCATATTGTCCAATTTTTGTATCTTAACTCTAAATATGGAAAGGGATAGTAGGGGTGATATGGGAATGCATTTAAAAGAGACTGTGAGAGGGCTGGAGCAATAGCACAGTTGGTAGGACATTTGCCTTGCACATGGCTCACCTGGTTCAATTCCCAGCATCCCATATGGTCCCCCAAGCACTGCTAGGAGTAATTCCTGAATTCATGAGCCAGGAGTAAACCCTG